TTTTACAGATAAAAAAGAGATACTAAAAAGTTTGCTTAAGACTTCGTATCTACCCTAGGATTGAAACCCAGGCAACCCTACCTGTGCTCTCCACCAGGGGTCAACAAACTATGGCCCTCGGGCCAAAGCTGACCCACTATCTATTTTACAAAGTTTTAATGGAATACAGCTATGCCCGTTAATGTACATATTGTCTGTGACTATTTCTGTTACAAAAGCAGGGTTGAGTAGGTGCAACACAGCTCATACGGCCTGCCAAGTCAAAAATATTAAATAGATGGCCCTTTACAGAAAAATGTTGACAACCTCTGCCCTCTCGTGTCCTGTAAGGCCGTGAGCACACTGCTTCCATCACAAATTGAAAAGTAACTTTGACCTGATGTTTTGGTCTCCTAATCTGTACTCTCCATCCACAACCTGAGCTATGAAATATAAGGTCAGTCTAATTTCATTTTGGCAGCCACGTCTACTCCATCTGTTTGTGGTTTCAGACAGATTAAACAACATCTGTTGTGCTGTTTCGTCAAACACATAGATGTTACTACCAAAGGATACACTTGCATTATTTTTCTAATAATAATTATGCTTATTCCCTGATGATTTTTTTACATTTAGACTGTCATTACCAAGCAAAAGGTTTGCACAAATTTATCAACTCTACTGCCTTTGGTACAACAGGATTCACGCCTTCACCCTTCCCACCTCCTGCTTGGGTTTTAAAGATAAAGGCATCAGCAGAGTGACAGAGAATAGCAAATTTTATGGGCAGTGGCTGTCCAGTAAGCAAGGCTTTTTCTGTTGAAACAGGCCTATTACTTTATTTGTCTTAGATGGAATTCATTAACATCACCTTTTGTACCAAAATGAACCATAAAAAAGAAAATAAATATGCTTGGCTTTTGAGAGATTTCTCAGAATATGAAACCTACATTGCATTGGTATTATAATCAAGTTAAAAGTAGCGTAGAAATCTATCCACAAAACTATACCAAGGACATTTTAATGGCTGCTGCGGAGCACAAGCCAAATCTCACCTCCATGAGGCACGCGCTCATTTCCCCAGCTGCTAGTTTTTTGCTGAATTCCTCTGTGGGAACTACACCCAGCCTGCTGCCTGGCTCAGGGTCATACCCACTCCCCTAGGGCCGATGCTGGCCAGTGGGAATGCGAGATGCTTGTCTCAGTTAGGAGCAACTCTTCAGAGCCTCTTAGCTCCAGAACTACCATGGGACCAGCCTGAGGCCTTTGCTGCATGTGCATCACCATCCAACTTCTCCCTGTGCCCAAACCCACATACCTCACTCCCTTTAAGTGTTATTCTGAGGGCACTCCCCCAGTCGATCTCCTGCACATAATCTTCTCTAAGTCTATTTCCCTGGGCAGCTGACCTGCAACCAACATGAAGTCTGATTTCCTAAAAGGTGCCATCAATAACTTCTAAGCCCTATTTAACATTCAATGACAGGAAAGAATCAGCAATTAAGAATATCTAGGAGACAGTAAATCCATCAGGCCAAAAAATGAGAGTAACAGCAAAATACTGGGCAGTATATACATCAAAAAGAAGTAGCAACAGAAGACAGAAGCAGCATCCATCTGGAGAAGCAGCATCCATTGGGGAGAAGGCAGTTCCAGAGGGAAGCTGGAGCACCTCTCAAAGCTAAGGAGGGCCAGTGAGGAAGGCTGCCTGGGAAACGGGAGCCGCAATCTGCTCTCACGCAGCTGGAGCTCAGCCCCTCTCAGCAACCAGGCACCCGGCCCTGGGCACAGACAGTCATGCGCAGTGACAGGCTCTATAAATAGCAGAGCAACCAGCAAATCCTAACCCAGCCTTCATAATTACAGACTGAGGGGTCTTATAGATGATTCTATAAATTGCATGCAGCCCTTTTCTGAGCAACCAACTCACAGACAATACCCCTAGCGACCATGTTTACAGATTAAAAACAACAACAAAAAAGCCACCGTTTAAAATATAAATACGTCAGAGACAATGTCCTTGTCAAGATAAGAAGCTAGGAAATATAAAATAAAGAAACATGTTTCATGGGATGGTTACCACGTCCCAATTGCAAATACTGAGAGGCTAAACAGCACCCAAACCGTAAGATTTCTGAAGCGGTAAATGGTCACACTATGCAAAGGCCATTAGTCACACCAAGCAAAGGCCACAGAAACCTGCCTTAAGAAGAAGGCAGCAACAGGGATGGGCAGGATGAGAAAAAAGGAGCCACAGAAAGTGCACAGGGAGGAAAGGTAAGGCAGACGGATGAGGCTGTGCAGTCCACTAAGTGTGCAGGAGAAAATGGGGGGTGGTAGGAGCAAGACGGGAAAGAAAAGATAGAAAACAAGAAGAAAATAAGAATGGGGCAAAGACAACTTGTGCTATTTGGAACAAGTCACAGCAAAGTCCTAACATGTGGTCACTGAGTCTTTTTCAAGGTCATCCTAAAGTACCTTGTAGTACCCATTATAGAATCAGTCTTTTAAGAAGCCAGCCCATTTATCAGTTAAGGCATCGGAAACAACTCAAGATATGGGAGGGGACAATGAACTAAGACCAAGAGGTCAAAATAAAGAAAATGCATATGCAAACTGAACTGCTATCCCCGTACACAAAGAAAGAACGGGTGGTTAAACTAACCTTACAACTAAGCTCTGTCAAGAGAATCCCAATAAGCTAATTAATCTCAAGTAATAACCTAGTCTTCAGGTCCAATTTAATCCCAGTAAGTTCCAATTTCTGTGATATTGAGTTTGACTCAATTCCTAAATTGAGTCAAACCCTATCATGACTCAGGCAGACTCAGCCACAAGGCAGATGGAGCCTCACTCATGCACGCAGCAGACAGGTAATGGGGACAAGTAGCAGCTAGGGCCTGCTAAGGGTCATGAGTAAGTACAGGCAAGAGCCAATGAGTCAGCAAAGACATCAGAGGCTCCAAGCGTCAAACCCTCAAAGCCAGGAGGGCAGGAACATTAGGGTACTAGATGATTAGTTCAGGCACAGCAAGACCTGGGCAGCCATAAGTGGTAGAGGCCCCAAGATCCCTAAGTGTCCGCCCTCTGGCTCGCCTCCCCTCCACTCTCGCACCTCCTCCAGGACCTAGCAGTGAAAATGTTCTTCATTTGGCATCTGTTCTGATCGGTCAATGCCCCCTTTCTACTGTTTTGACCATCACCCCTGCCAATATATAAAGTGAACGAAAGCTATTTAGGCTTTGAGGCTGGAGTTCAGCGCAGGATTTCAGGCCCCAAAGATGAGTGACAGTAACAGAACAGGAAAGTAAGGTAGTCTTTTACTGAGCCCCCAGGCCAGGAGTCAGAGGATGAATGCTTGCCAAGCTCACCATCGAGCCCCAGGCACAATGTCCGAGAAGCAAGCCTAAAATCACAGTGGACAGAGGCTTCCAGCACCAACTGCTCTGATCAGAAATGTCTCAGAGACATCACAGCTCCTGCTGAGGACACATAGAATAGGAAGGACAGACCATTCCTGCCCGCAGTCTGGAAGCTGAAACTTTGCCCCTGAAGAGACTAATTGAATGTGTATTTGGTCTGTGTTCAAGTTTTAAATGCTTTTCTGGCAGCACATTCCCTCTCAAAATCTGCTTACTCTGAAGACATACTTATCAGCAAGAAGGGAAAAAAAATGTTTTCATGGCCTACAATTTTCTGATAATTTATACTAAGTAAAGAGACAGAGAAAAAGGAACAGATAGAGCTACCAGGACAAGGGTCCAAACAAAGACGGTAAATTAGAGGTTTATACGAAATATTTGTGGCTAGTCCATTTTTACATCTTTATTGTGTATTTCTACTCTTTGACATATCATTTGGACATCAGTTAAAGCTCTGCATTATAAGTCACCTTGTACTCACTCTTTTTAAACCTAAGCTAATGTTACTGAATGGTAGCTAAAAGCTTTAAAGATTTTGTTACCTTCTTTTGCAGTTATTTGGGCAAGAGCTATGAATTTTTTTAACCTAGATCATAAGATCCTGTTGACATTTTCCAGTAGATTAATTTAAGTGGTGTTTATTTCAATGTGGCTTTTTTCACAGCATTTATCACAGTTTGGCCTATCTAAAATTTATTTGCAGATGTGAGGGCTCAGACATGCTTCTTTTTCCTTAGAGTCCTTCATTGTTCCTAACTATGTATGGCACAAAGTAGATTTTCAATATGTCTTGATTTTTATTTTCTTTGTTTTTAAAGATCTATTTGTCTAAAAATTGCAGCAAAGAACAAATTAGAAACTCAAACCCACCAAAAGGAGTATACCACACTCAATCTTTTAAAACTATATAAATAAGGAAATAAATAAATAAATAAAATCTTAAAAAAAAAAAAAAGAAATGGAATTGCCAAGAGATAGAAAAATCACACTGTAAAACTACCACCAAGTTTGTCTTTAAAAATGTTGAAACAAATTACATTTCTAGCACTATGAAAGTGTCCGTTTAATCCTATCCCCAGCAACCATGGATAGGATCTACTTTTTTTCCTTATTGTCAGTCTGATGGGCAAAAAACTAGTCTTAATTTGCATTTTTTATTTAGTAAGTTTAGAAATATTTTTATAAGCCTTTTGTTTTCTTTGAATTGTCTGTTCATATCTTTTGCTCATTTTCCTACAAGTTATATGCATTTGCCATATAGGTTTTAAGGAAGCTTTGTTATGTAATATGAAAACAATTATTTGCTATATATGCAGCAAGTATTTTTGCCTAGGTTGCAACCTGTCTCTCAATCTAGTTGTACAGAAGCTTATAATTCTTTTATTCAAAACTGCCAATCTTTTCCTTTATAATATCTAATTTTGTTTCCTAGAAAGTTTCTCCCAATGGCAAGAATATAAAATGTTCTACTATGTCTTCTATTCTTTAAGTCCTTTAAATGTATACTTATTGTCCATCAGGAATTGATTACATGCATATTTTTAATCCATCTGAAATTAATTTTTTTGTTAGTTCATGTCTTTTACTAGCCCAATACAATTACTTTTCTTCTGGTTTGTTGAAGCAGTAGGTCAGACAACATTTGCCACAACAATGTCTGTCAAAGTGGCTGGCCATAAAAGCACCAGGACCACACTCATCTGAAGGGCACTCCTGTCTAAGGCAACTCATTTTGCCATCCTCATCCACTTTGTAATATTTCAGGACAGCCAGCTTAACCTCCTTTCTTTTATGCTTATTATTCTTGGTTGTGGTGTAAGACTTCTTCCTTTTCTTAGCACCACTGTGAGGTGGTCTCAACACCAGATGAAGAGGGGACATCTTTTGAATGTTGTAGTCAGACAAAGCACACTCGTTTTCCAGTTGCTTGACAGCAAAGATCAGTCTTTGCTGAGCAGGAGGAATTCCTTCCTTATCCTGGACCTTGGCCTTTACATTTTCTATTGTATCCAAGGACACAGCCTTGACAATGATGGTCTTCTCCATAAGGGTTTTCATGAAAATCTGCATTTTGGCAGCGATTCCACTGTAGATGGTGTATCAGAAAGGGAGAGCTTGAAATTAATTTTTGACTACAGTGTGAGGTATAGACAAATACTATTTTCTCCCAAATGAGCAACAGCATCCACTGAAGAATCTATTCTTTCTCCAAAAAGTGTATTCACTTTGTTATGTTTTCTATTATAGAAAATTCCAAAATATAAAAAAGGTAAAAGTATAAAGAACTCTCAGTATTCATCACCCCAGCTTCAACAGCTATCAATCCATCTCTATTGATTTAAAATACCATTTATACTATTTAATAAACTTCTACATATACTTGGCTATATATCTGAACAATCCTCTGTTCTGTTCTAATTTAATTAATGTGGTAATACAATGATCTATAAACACTTAAATAAATATTATAAAAAACAATAGGAATATACTCTTTGTACTACATTATAATGAGATGAAAAGCAGAGTAAAATACAGGCCAACTACTACAACAAATGGATCCAAAAATACAGTTATCAGAACAAGATAGAAATTCATTTTTCTTACGGCCACTTCACAATTGATAGGTGGCTCTGATCAATGAGGTCACCCAAGGACCTAGGATCCTTCTCCCCTCAGGTATTACCAGTCAAGCTAGTTGAACCTGGCTCACCACCATCACAATTCCTTTCCCAGCATGGGAAGAAAGAAAGGCACTATGAAAGACAATCAGTTGTTTTTTAACATCTTGACCTAGAACGTGCATACCTCACTTCCACTTGGCCATTTGAGTTTAAAGGAAAATCCGAAGTACAAATATTTTCTTTAAAAACATAAAAAATAAGCCTGGCTGGTGTGGCTCAGTGGACTGAGTGCCAGCCTGCGAACCAGGGGGTTGCCAGTTCAATTCCCAGTCAGGGCACATGCCTGGGTTGTGGGCCAGGTTCCCAGTGGGGGGCGCACGAGAGGCAACTGCACATTGATGTTTCTCTCCCTCTCTTTCTCCCTCCCTTCCCTTCTCTCTATATAAATAAATTTTTTTAATCTTTAAAAAATAATAAATAAATAAAAACTAATGTTCTGAGATAGAAGAAGAGTGGCCATGACATTCCATTTCAAGCCAAACTTTGAATTGGTTTACATATATTTTGCCTGCTTTTTTTCATGGGGATTATGGATAATTGATTTCAGCATCTTAATGGTTTTCTAATTTTAAAAGCTTTCTTAGCATAGTACTACTGGACCGACAGGTCACAAAAATATGTAGGCAAAAGAGCATTAAATAAGGAGACTGTTACTACTCATTAAATCCTGCAGAGATTGGCAGAGCCAGCAGTCACTGGTCAAAGTTCACCCCAAACCTCTCAGGGATGGCAGAAGATGAGAAACGGAGAAAGGCACCAGCTTTCACAGGATGCCTGGTGATGGGGATGGGGAGGGAAGAGGGTACAAAGTCTAGGACAGGGAAACAAAAAGACAAAACTCCTCTACTTAGGTGTAGATACCAAGAAAAAAACAGAAGAGTTAAAGAATAAAAGAGACCTAGAGGCATGCGCTGTGACCTGGCTCTTCACAGAGCCTTGACCCTCCTCCCTCACCACCCCCAGAGTTTTGGAGTGTTCAGCCAAACCCCATACCACTAGAACTCTTACTGGGATCCAGTGTGCACTTATTTCAAGGAAAAGAGGCAGCGGGGTCTCCACATTGTGTACCCTTTGGAAGGAAGAAGCGTCCCCCTGGGGAAGGATGCTCCAACTGGAGAAACCGTAAGATCAACCCCCCTCGGTTTCATTCCTGCACCCACATTCCCCACTCCCTCAAAGGAGACAGAAACAAGCTCTGTGGGATAGAAATGAAAGCACTCATATTGATTTACAGGTAAGAGTTGGCCTTCTTATGTTACAGTTGATAAAACCAAATTGTCTTATCAAAAGGAATGACACTTCTGAGGTAAGGTTATAAAATGAGCAAATTTATATTGTCACCATCAAACAATTTTTCCTCCTTTGGGGGTAACGCTAAACTCTTTAAAAAGACTAATTTTAACTACGCGTGCGATTCAATAATAAGTATAGATAAGCATGTAAATCTTCTCCAAAACCATGTCTAGAGAACTCAGCATGACTAAAAATAGTTGAATACATCAATAAGAAAATGGAATATAAAAGATCTACCTAGAGAATACAAAATAAAGAATACATAAAGATGTATTTGGGGCAGGTAACATCAATAATGATAACAATATTTGTAGGTTCTTGAATAATCCTGATGGTTAAAGTGGTTCCAAAGAATTCTAAATCCTCCCTTTATCATTCAAACACAGATTGCCAATTAAAATTTTTCCAGCAGCTCAAGATGGGAAAAAATTCAAGCTAAACATAATCCCATGCTCCATTTATATTTATACTTTCCAGATGGAGGCATCATGGAAAGAGCTTTTATTTCCCTCAAACCCCTCAGTTTAATCCTCTGCTTTCAGGTCATCTCATCTCCCAACAGATCTATTTTTAGCATCCCTTATTACTCCCTTTGAATCCCTGTCTCTACTGTCATCATTTCCTGAAGCAGGACAAAATTTCCTGATGTAGGAAGGATAAACAAAAATTTTCTGATACAAAAGGTGAATTATAAAACTGCCAGAGGATTTCAGACTTGCACAGCCTTGAAAACTGCCTTTCTGACTTATCCTGATGCACATCTTCTGAGTAAGCAGATTTAGAAAGTGTGTTGCCAGAAAAGCCTATGCAATATAAACATAAATCAAATATAAATTAAATTCACTCTAAATGAAAACATTGTTTACTCTCATACAGTGCAACTGGATTATTAAAACTCACCTTTTAGCATCTGGCACATGGTACTGAAGTCCCTTCAGAGTCTATTTGTTCACTTGTCACTCATCTTTCTTTTTCTGCACTTTTGCTTGGGTTTCATTTACTCTATAATTTACCAAATATTTCTTGAGGCCTCCCATGTGTGCAGCACTGTACTAAGCATGGGAACAAAAATGAATACACACAGAACACACCCTTAAGAGCAACCCCTCCATTATGGATTGCAGACTAAACAACAAGTAATGCAATGAAGACAGTATGAAGAAGTATGCTCAGGAGACATTACTGAGCAAATGAGGAAGCAGTCAGTTCAAGGGGGTGGGTGAGGAGGGCTACCACTGTGTGACAGAAACCAGGGCCACAACTTCAAAAGCAAGTGAAGATTCAGCACAGTCAAGGGCAAGGCAAGGCCTGCTGCTTAGAAAGAAGAGGATGCATAAAGGCACTGAAAATAAATGATGAGCTAGAAGACTAGAGATGAGATCAGAAACTTGAATGAGGTATTATTTCATCTTTTCTTTTACCTGATGACCTGATGTTTTGTTTTGTTTTGTTTTGTTTTGTAAGAAGGCTGGAGACCTCCTAAGGTTCCTGAGTGGAAAGCTTATTAAAACTATTTAACTGAGTCAATGGGAGGAAACTCACCTCAACCTGGTACCCTTATACCTCACCTCAAACAGGAGTGTACTTCAAAAAGACAAAGGAGATGCAAAACATACAATACCAGGACCCAAGATTCTGTCATGACCATATGCATAATTCTACCATTAAAATGCAAATATTTCTATTCTGGGTCATATCTCAAAAGTTGCATCAGTTAGTAATAGGTAACCTCAGAAGGGACTGGCTTCAAAATAGAATGAAAAGAAGAACAAGTAAGAGGGAGAACTACTTAGAGACATAAGTATACTAATTATGGGTTTAAAAAGGCACAAGAGACACATCACCTACTACACAGCTTGGTTTGGACCAGCCCTGGTGGTAGCCCAATAAGAGAAAATGACAACATATTATAAAGCCTCAATAATTAAAACAGACTGTTATGGAGGGTCATTTGATAATACTTATCAAGACTGAAATATATAAATTCTGACCCATATTTCTCCTTCTGAGAGGTCATTCTAAGGATACCATCTTTATGCACACATGTAAAATGACTAAGGTTTTACATTTAAGCATCATTTATAATAATAAAAGATTATAAAATTACCCCATGTCATTAATAGGGGGATGGTCAATGCAATCGTATTGATGGATCCAATGGAATACTACATAGCTATAAAAAGTAGAGCACTCTCTTCAGAAAGCTCTCAAAGAAACACTAAGTGAATAAAATGAGATTTAAAACAGTTTATACAGTATATTACTATTCACACAAAAAAGAAAAAAATATTTTTATTTCCTTGTATGTGAAAAAATAAACAATGAAAAGAATCACAAGGAACTAAGGACAAAAATTATCTAAGAGATTTCCTTAAAACTGAGGAGCATTACGGGATAAAGAATTCTCACTGATATATTTTCATGTTTTAATTTTTAATCATGTCAATGTTTTACCTATGCAAAAATTAAACTAAAATTAAAATAAATAAGCAATACTGGAATAGCAAATGCTGCCAAACTAAATCTTTAACCCCTATAGCAAAGAGATAACAACACTCAAAAAGTTTTTCCTGTTACCTTTCTCTACTCCCCTAATTCTCTTACTAAAACCTTAGGTGTAGCACCAGGTGGAAAAAAACAACAGATAATAACAACCCAATTTATCCTTTGATTCTACACACAAGACACAGAATCTTTCAGAAAAAAAATGCAGGTATAATCAAAGAAGAGAAGAAGGAAGCATCTACCCTACTTTCAATGAATGACAAATTTCTAATAGGATCACACATCAATGTGAAATAGAAGAAAAAGAGTTCTTCAAGGGTTGGGGCAGGTCTTATTCAACCTGATTTTATTTCATTAAAACTTCTGACCAATAAAGCTCAATGGATTCGGTTCACTTCTGGTGAGACCCAGCCTTTTGGACTAATGGCTGTGGTGGATACTGGATGGGTAAGGAAAACAATGAGGAAAGTTGAAACGGTTTTCACAGCCTCAGGTCTCTTGTAGATCTCAATAAGGCCCAGCCCAAGGGCCTATACCATACCCTTCTTTTACAGGGTTCTATTCCTAGGATCTACTCACATAGTTGCAACA